TGGTTTCTTGCCATAGTTTATAGGACGCTAAACATATCAAACGTTCTCAATTAAACTCATTTCGAGATCATTGTTAACACAATATAATAGCAATATGTAAGAGACAACTTAACAATTTGCAATAATGCCACGAGCACCTACCACATTATTTCAATGTTTCAATTGTTTAGTCTCACGCCCGACTCACGGATTTCGCCGGTTATCCACCGGTCTGCGTGAGGCACCCCGGATTACGCCGATTTACTAATCGGTCCGGCTTCCATGGTTTATCAACCACATGCATCTCTACTCCGAGGCATCGCAATTTGCTAATCACAGCATCCCCGCACTCAGGTCAGGGACATCCCGACCTCCTACGGGGCATTATCGGCGCAAGGCCTAATGGACATCCCTTATGGTAGATTCATATCACACAACTCAAGCACTTTCTTTTGTACATACAGCAACAAAACCATTTCATGCCGTACATTTCATCATATCTAGCAAGTACATTGAATAACATATGCCATAAAAGTGATTTAACACCTTATTATTGCATACTAGCTATTCATATCCACAATTTCCATTATCTCTTACCACAAGGTAACCCAATTTGCACCACTATTTGATATCATATTGAGGCCAGTCATACCTCATTGGAAAGCCTAAAGGGTGTGGGTTCTATCTCCATAAGACATTGAATTGCGGTTTGGTCATTTTCAAGTAGAAAATCATGACTTTTTGCCAGTGGGTAAAACTAGACAATTTTGCACGACAATAGTAATCAAGGCTAAAAAATAGTAAATGACCCCAAAAAATTATGAAATTTGAATATGTTATAGAAAAAGACCTTAAATGACATTTTTCATGAAGGGTATGAAGCCTAGATCATTCTGTAAACATGGCTATTGGTCACTTAAAGCTAAACCACAATCAACCCGTTGGAACAAAATGTCTGCTTCTCAATAGAGACCCATTTCTCCACTCAGATCATCTCCAAACATCTCGAAATTTTTATATGTCAGAGAAAAATAAGTCACTTACAACTATTGTGAAGGAAATTTGTTAAAAATCTCACTGAAAAATTTATGGAAATTCGAGAAAGTATGAAGGTCACTGATTTTGCAATATTGGATAGTTCGAACCCGGTTTGAAGGTAGGCCTTCGTCCGACCCAAATCAGCTCAGAAAAATCTAGATTTAAAGTATGTTAAACTTCAAGAAGTGATAAACAACTTTTATGAAGAACGCATCCCCAAATTTGACCCACAAAAGTATTTACAAAAATAGCAAATAGACGAGGTACAGTAACTACAATTCTAGGTTTTAAAACCAGACTCCAAGAAACCAAACCTTAGTTGATACTCACGAAGTTTTGTCCCGCAAAACTCAAATCCATAGGTCTAAACTAACATGCAACAGCCATTCCCACCTTCATTCAACAATCTAAACCCGTCATCTTCACATGCAATTCGATATAAGCACTAAGATTTACATGCGATCACTTCTAAAGCCAAGAAACTCACATGCACTCACCGTCCAGGTCTGGAATTTCATATGCAAGCACATACAAGACCAAAAATCACACATGCAAGAAAGAAACATTCATCCACAGCACATTACAAGTAAAACCAAGCATGTATAAGGATCAATAGGCTTAGAATCAAGCCGTTTCCCTTGCCTTGGTGATTCTAGAACTAGGATTCTTCCCCTTTGAGCTGCTGGTGTGACCTTCAAGCTTGAAAATGGAAGAAAATGGGATGAAGATGAAGATGGAGGTGGTGGTGGGAGGAAGTGAAGGTGGGGTGGGGTGTGTGTCTCGACCAAGGTTGAGAGGAAGAGAGGATGAGTGAAAATGAAAGAAATGAGAGAGAGAGAGAGAGAGAGAGAGAGAGAGAGAGAGGGGGGGGGTGGGAGGGGTCGGCCGAATGGGGGGTTTAAGGGAGAGAGAGTGAGTAATAGTCTAGTCCTTCATCATTAGCCCCTAGAAAGTGTATCAAGCAAACTTTTCACCCTTGCATGAATTCTCATTGGCTGAAGTGGGCGGCCATGCATGATTTCACCCCAAAAATTCACTAAATTTCTATGCAAAATTAGCACTAAGTGGCCGGCCATGCATATAGTACATTAGGGTTCCAATCGTGTCCTATGTTATGTATATTAGGTGTACATAATAGCCACACAAGGAATATATTAATGGCCATTGTCCCTAAATTATCTTAAATGGTCATTTGGAACACATAAACTAATTAAAAACAATCGTCGATATTAAAACAATTCCCCTGTAACTCACTAATTTATGTAACGAATTTTGAAATGTCACAGCGTAGGCATCGTTTTATCAACAAATAAGTGTATTTTTATCGATTCGTTCGCTAAAATATTGGTTTACTTAGTTTTTCATACCGTTTTTCATTTTAATTATTAAGTATTTTAGTGTGTTGGCTCGAGTAACCACCATAGCTTGGTTTTTTCAGCTTTCCTAGGTGAGTAGTGCTATTTCTTCTTTGAGTTTGTAAACTCATGTTTTAAAAATGATATATTATAAATATGTTATGAGATAAAATTAATGGTGTTTTTGTTGCATAAAAGTATATCGAGCATTTACCGCCGTTTTGTCTATTTGAAATAGAAAGTTATCTTTTGATTTCGATTTGAGTTGATTGCATGTAAATGGTTTGTGAAACCTTTTGGGAAAGACTCATGAGAAGTCCTTGACTTTAATAATGGGTTATGAATGGTTATATACTGATTTGTGAAATGGTTTATGAAATAGATTTTGAATTGGTTTGAGAAACGTAATGCGATATATGAAATGGCTTCGTGAATTGTGAAGGATGCTGTGGGTAAGTATTAATGCTCAACGCCTCTGTGAATCCATTGATGGGTTGTGATGATGCGCATACTAGTCTAAAATATCCCTTTGGGCCGAGCCATCGGCAATGTAGGTGGAGACCTAGTCAAAAGGGCAAATTTTGTCGCCTTGTCACGGGGCGTTATCCATGATCATGATTAGATATGTGAGCGCAAGATTGGCCAATGGAATGGAACATTGGCGTGTTTTTTCGATGAAATTGATCAATGGGCTGGACCATTGATACTAGTTTTGATATTATTATTTGAAATGAGTATTTTGATATGAATATACTTATGTTGAGGTAAAATACAACTCATTTTGTTTCTGAGGTTTGTTATATCATGAAATTTTGGTGTAATGATTTATGCTTGTGTACCTTAAACATGTACAGTGGATGCTCGATCTACCTAGAAGAAATGTATTACTCACTGAGTCGTGGTAGCTCATTTCTCTCGGGGCATGAGCGTTTCAGTACTGTTTCATTACCATGGAGGACTTTTTTGATAGTAGAGACTTTTTGGTACGAGTAATATATAGCTGTGGAGCTTTTGAGTTGGTTTTGATGGATATGTGTGTATATATATTTATATATATAGCTATTAATGATTTATAGTGAACTCTGATATCGTAACGAGATAACTTATATATAATAAGGATGTCAATGGGTCGGGTCGGTTTTTTTTATAATACCCGACCCGACCCGAAATACTGAACGTGTGTGTTTGGCCCGACCCGAGACAAGACCCGAACATGATACAGCCGCACGATCGGGCCGGGTCGGGTCGGGTTTCGTGTTTCGGATTTTTATTTTATCACAAGGCACAATAGAACATCAATCAGAATCCAAACAACACCAACGATCTTTACTCCTTTGAAGCCCACCATCCCCAAATTCCCAGTAACACTTGAGCTCAAGAACGTCACAAGAACCCAAATAAACAGAGAAATCGCCCACTTCAGAGACAAAAGGAAGACACAAAGAAAGAACAGCAAATCACTTGAGAACGGTGGGTAATTATAGAGCACGAGATTCGGGACTCCCTCATCGCGGGCTCTGGAAATGGCTTCCAAAGCAGCGTACTCTAAAGAACCAACACAAGCGAGGACGAAGATATACCACAAATGACCCAGTGTCCGATCTAAATCTGCAGTGCCTGATCGAGATCCCCCTCTGCAACCGCGATCTCTTCTTTGCATCCGACTCTGTTTGAACCCACTCAAGAAATGCGGACCTCCAAAACCATCACCCAAAAGCACCGATAGAACGCCAAACTCATCCCAAAACACAAAAGGAACAAAGCGAATGAAACCAGAGAGAGAACTAAAAACTGAAATTCTATTCACCCAAATGCAGAACCCATTCGTACAATCATAGACCCATAAACCAAACCTCACAAGTTCATTTCGTTAGGAACACAAAACGCACTTCACCTAACACGACTGCAATCGATCCAGAACAGCGTTTTTCAGCCGCCGAAGCCGTACAGGGTCCTCCCCTGCCTCTTGAGTGCGTACACGACGTCCATGGCAGTCACCGTCTTCCGCCGCGTGTGCTCCGTGTAGGTCACGGTGTCGCAGATCACGTTCTCCAGGAAGATCTTCAGCACCCCGCGCGATATCTTGGCAAGATAGGGTTTCCTTCTTAGAAAGGTTGGGCTCGGCTCATGTGTGAACGCAGACGGCAGAAGAAAAGTTTCATTGTTTCGGTTGGGCTCGGCTCGGGTACCCTAGCCCAATAAAATCAAAATAATACCCAATTATTTTTACTGATACCCAAACAAATTGAGACCCAATCTGACCTGATACGAAAATGGGTCGGGTCGGGTCGGGTGATCAATCGAGTTCTTTGGCAGCCCTAATATATATATCTTTTGATATCAGATTGAGTTTTGTTTATAATAAGGCTAAATTCTTTGAAAAAAGAACAGCCGTGTCATGCCCCTATTCTTATTGAGTTAGAGGTAAGACAGTTAATGGTAGGGGACATCGATATGAAAACATCAAGCGACTAATATGGCAAAATTAAGATAGTGAGGGGGGCAAGTTGCAACCATCCTTATAAAAACCCTAGAGGCAAAGTCGTTTATGCTCAAGTCCGGATCTGGATCCACCGATTACGAGCACTTGACCCGAAAACCCGCCCGACGCAACCCAGGCGTACGGTTGTATCCTCGGCTCGAGAAGTCTCGTTCCCCGTCGTCTTCAACTTCTTGCGGTCGTTACCTTGAACGCTCCGACAGGAAACGATAGTGATTCGACCACCGCCGGGAACAGAGTAAATCGCCGCAAATCTCATCCCTCCTCGAACGCGCGATCCGATCCAACATGGTGAATCCTCCGAAACCCTCGAAACTTTCCGCCATCATCTTTCATCGATGGCGAATTCGTCGAGGTTTTTTTTCCCCTAACCTCGTGTGGAATTGTCGGATCAGGTTTGCTTGGCGTGCTTGTTGCCTCTCTTCCTCGTCCCCATCGTGAACTTACTGCCCCTCCTCCTCGACATCATCATGGTAAGACGATCCTGCCGCTCGCGTCGTTTCCTCGTTTGTCTAATTCGCCGTTTTCCTGTGGATTTCTTGGGTTTCTTTTCGTTGGGTGATTGTTGGGTCGGATTCGTGATCGAAGCATTGTGTTGGGACGATCGTGGTGCTGGGCATTTGCCCTTTTGTGCGGCTTTCGTGGGCTTCGCGTCGAATTTGGTTTCGCGAGCTCTGTGATGTGAAAATTCTAAATGGTGAAAATTCGCAGGCGAGAGTATACGCCCTTTTCGGGTGGGAGTACAGGAAGCCTGTGAGGACTCCTCCAGCATGTCCATATAAGCCAACAGCACCCATAAAGGATGGCAAAGTAAGTTATTGGATATAAAATTGTGGTTTTTGTTCTCTGCTTACATGCGAATCACTTTGAAGTGTGTTGTGAGTTTGGTTTCGATCCTGGAGTATTTGCGAATTCGTAGTCCATATAACTCATGTAGGAATCTGTGTACTACGGTATTGGTTGTAATGGGAAAACTTTTAAAATTGAGGCGAAGATTGTTTCCTTGAATCACCTATTTTGGTCAGGCGCATAGAATAGACTGTTGGCTGCATAGCTGAGCACGGGGTATGATGTGCGCTAAGGGTTTTCTTTTCCCCTTCTTTTAACTTTGCCAATAATTTGGACCTATAGGATAAAGAATAGCTCGTTACAATTGGAGATGGAACATTGGGGCTTTTTCTTTGTTGGAAGAAGTCGGACTGAAGTTCATTGTTGGTTTATCTAATCAATGTTCTTTCTTTGCGCTTTTTGTAAAAATTGGTCCCTATTGTGCAAGTTAAGTTGCACACAAATGCTAGCAGATAAAGAGCGACATGATTTGGTCCTTCCCTCAAAATTTAGTGGAAAGATTAATGGTACTTGAAGATTGGAGCTCACCTCCAATTTGATCGTGAAAATCAAGCATGACAGATTTTCTTGCATGTTCATCAAATGCTTGTCAGGAAAAAGTATGTGGATCAAGTCTCCTTAGCATTTTGTCACTTTCTTGAGAATGAATATTGGTACTTAGATGGTGCTGGAATATACTTACTGTTGCTTTATTGGGAAACAGTTAATTTATCCCTGCAATATTGTTGATGTACATCAAACTAAGTATATCTGCTTGTCAGGAAAGTACATTAAACAGTTAATTTATCCCCGCTGTTATCGAGTCACGGAACTCTGTATTTTATCTGAACAACTGCTCTAAAGGAGACAATGGGGTTTTACTTCTGTATAGTCAATAATGATCTTAGAATACTTAGGTGAAAAAAATTGGACCTCTGAGAACAAAACTGTGTTTACTTCCAAGAGCTTATTTCCTCTGTGCACGAAAGTAAAGTGTAGAAGTGTATCATGGGTTCTAATTTGAGGACATTTCAGTGTCTGGTGACTTCAACTGAACTGGCTCCATGGTACATCTTATTTCACATCTTATCCTCAGATTTAGCATTGTTGCTTCTTTATCTAAATGTTTCGTTTACTTGCAGTTACCGTTTATCAACACCACGGTCACTTCATATTCCTTGACTAAATGTTGATGGTTATGAAGCTGCTTCTTATTTGGTTTTTGATGGTCTATGCTGCTGGAACCTCACCTTTTTTAATAATCATAATACAACCTATTAACACGTATACAATTCCAGAAATTTCTTTGAAGAATGGCTGTGCTTATAGAAGTATGTACTTAAATATATGGGCTCCCATGCTCCTATCGTTGACATTGTGTAGTTAATGACTTCTGTAATCCTTAATCCATAGTTCTGGCCTTTAATCTGATAGGGTTATTTATTTGGTTGGGGGAATAATAAATGGCTTGCAATGGGCATTTTTGAATGCTCTCTGTTTCTCTCTCATTGATTCTTATTTTATTGTCTCTACTTTGTCACGACCTCCAGGAGAAGGTTTGGTTGGAAATCTTTTATCTTTCTTTTCAAGTCTTGTCATGAATGGTTGTTTCATGGGTGTTTAATAAACTTTACTTTGCTGAAGGGTTATTGTATTTTCAATTACTCCCTTTGCGCGTAATCAAAACCAAGGAATGGTGGTCAGAAATATTTCATTGGGAATGCAGTTTGTGCTTTTGGATTTGCCTTCTTCCTGTGAACCCAAAAATGAAACCTGCTAGGTGTATTTTGTTGTCTCTCTTATGTAGATGGAACACCTTCATGAGCCTGAGCTTTGTTCGTGCACAAAATGTTTGATTCATTGATCATGGTATTTCTATACATGTCCTCCTTTCATGCTTGTGCAAGCAAAACTACCAAAGAGCTGAGCAGCTGCGTTTGAGTCTTCATCTTTCGTTGGGTGGATCTGGGCCTGTATCAATGCAGTAGATCAGTTATCCTATTTAGGGATATTGCGGAGGGCTTTGAAAAAATCAAATCATAGCAGACAATAGTAAACGGGTTGATGTCACAAGTGCTACTAAGCACCTGAAAGAAGGGGCATTGAATCTGTTTTTAATGCATCATGTTTATTGTTGCCATGAATTTTGGTGCTTTCATCACTGGGTAATCCATAAATGCTAGTGCAGTTTGTAATCTTTGTGCCAGATTTGTAATCAAGTTGTAAACATAGGTCAGTGAATAGTGATATCCTCCGGGGAATGAGGTGTAGCAGATATCTATAATGCCTCTGGACTTGCTTCCTTTTTCTTATTCACATCTCTTTCTCTAGAGCCTTTCCGAGTTTTTCATATTTATTCACCTGGCAGGTAGGGGAAGGAGATGCACCGGGTGTTCCTGAGTCAACCGGAAAACCGCCGGAAGTGGCGGACAAGAAGGACGACTGATGTTAGCTTGATTGAGAAGCAAAGGAAAGGAAGAAGAGGAAGAAGAAGAAGACACTGCATTATCTTAAAACTTTTGTCCATTCAAGAAATCCGGTCTGTGAGCTCGTGAAAAACATGGACACCGAGAGATTGTTGGTAAATAAATGAAAGATTCACTTAGGTCGAAAGTGATGTTTTCGTATGATCTTTGCAATTGAAATTAGTTTCTCTAACATGGTCGTCGCCATTGCCGGCCGGAACCTTTCATCTGGTAATAGGCATGTTGGACTTTCCAAATGGTTTGGGTCCCCCCAACGGACAGGTCCAGTGAGAAGAGGCCCTCGAGCCCAAGACATGATCTAGCAAGAAAACTAGATCTGCTGTACCAGAATACAAGTTGCTACAAGACATGATCTAGCAATAATTCTCAAATTATTACGTCCACAATTTTTGGAAACTAAAAAGCAGTTGGTGGAAGCAAAGAAAATACCCACTCGGACATGTATTTTGGCGCATATGGCTGGCCTTGGATACTTTCCACACAAAAATCATCTTTTATTTTCTGTAAAGAAATGGCAAGCCACTCGTTCAAAACAACGTGGTACTTTTGCTACCTACCGAGGGAAAGGGAGAATCTCCGGCATGGATCCGGTGGGGGCCTCTGCCTTTTGGCGTGCTTGGAAACTCTTTGATCTAGGGAGTAAATTGGGACGAAAGTGACACGAAGTGATGGTAGAAAGTCGTGTAAAATGGTGAGCAAGAACCCCGAAAGTGGGGTCTTTCGGGCACAAAGAGAACCGGCCAGATTATTAAAAAAGGGATTTTGCACGATTGACCAAGAAGATTAGCAAGACATCCACATCGGAGGTGGGCCCCTTCGGTTACGCGACATTGTTTAAGGAGAAGGATTCAAAATGCTGATCGTTATGCTGTTGTGCTTTATCATTGGAGAAAAAGGGGTTGGTCTTCTTGCTTTTAGGTTGGTTCTGTGGTTTTCTTTAATCCTCCAATATGCACAAACAAATGGCAGAAATTGTTAGTGTTTCCCACAAGCATGCCTTGTGCACCGGGGGCAAGAACTTCGCTTATCATCTAAACCCCTATTGGCTTTGCCCAGACCCACGATCTTCCTGGCCAGATTCTCAGCCAAAGAGAAGAAAACAAATAGGCGAAATCTGAAGGAAAGCATTCGGCTTCTGTCCGTAGGACAAGAATACCATGACTTTTCGAACGGTCCTAAGAAATTCGCGAGTTTTTTACTCGAAAGATGGAAATACCTACCGTTGAATATCCTGTCCAAGCAAACCGATACCGGCGACGTGGCTGAAAATGGCGTTTAGAGAAATAGATTGGTAGAGAAATGAGCCGTAGTGATCTCTGGGAACGCACTTGAAGCGGCTTAGTCACAATAAAGAGGAATCCGAAGCAACAACGTTTTAGGGATTGGCATTGTCCGGCTTTCATCGATGTGTCCACGGCATCCTTTGAGACCGATGTATCTTTTGTATAGGTTAGCACTGTCACCCGCGTCATTATGTGTTACACCAACTTGCATGGACAAAAACTTTATGATCGATTCATTTATCCTTCATATAAAAAATTAATAAGCTTATGGATCATTTGAAATATCGGGTATATGTAAGTTTGTGGGTGTTTTGAATTGTCAATTATTTACTTGGATTTACACATCTACGTTTTTTACTTAATTGTTTTTGCAATTGACATATATCGTCGTATCAAACTTTATCCTAGGTGTCGTGTAGTCGAGATAATATAAGGCCATTCAGGTTAAGAGATGCATATTTATCTTAGCTTAGCTCTATAAGTCTGTTTTCCGAATCTATTCACCTCCATCCAATTCATTAGTAACCCACCAACTCCAATTCAATTTAAGGGAAAAACGAACTTTTTCAAACCAAATATTCCACGAGTCAAATTAATGACGGGTTAGGCCACCACCGCCTCTCTGATAGCTACCCGCGGGGCCCACAATCCTTCCCCCCCAAGAAGATCGTGGACGAATCGGTCCACGTGTCGAACCGGGGTTAGCCCGCAGGATTTTTCATTATTAGAATCTATCAAAAAGTCCACATTTCATCGATTAATCAAATGGACACAAGAAAAACCATCTTGTGGGCGGAGTTCGAATTTCAAATTCCCGACTCGACATTTGTTTGGGAATCTGAATTTACCTATTTTAAAATCGTTTTTTTTTTTTGAAAAAAAATGGCTAGAAATTGCTTCCCTCCTTCCCTCAACTCAAGGAATAATGAATAATTGTTTAATTTATGTCATTATCTTGGATGACACCACGTGAAGCCTACCCAACAAAAAAATTAATAATAAAAAATATGTGCATAGTGCTGTCTAAGTGGCATCTGACTTGGACCCTGATGATGATGTCTTGCATCCGGAAGCCAATGAGTCGAAGTCGTTCTTCTTTCTCAGCCAAAGTACCAAAGATCAAAAAAAGCATCCATTATAAAAACTTGGTAAAATTCAGTTCAAAATATTTAAATCTCTTGAGAAGTTGCGTATGCTTATGGCAAAAACTTTATGCGCATGGTCCAATCCAATAGAAAAGGCATGTACCTGTCTTTGCTAATGCTTTCCTTCCACGGCATAAAGAGTACTATATCTTGTTGTTGTCGATACTCCGTTCACCATTACTAAAGTGTTGGCTTAAATGGTAAGAGAGCTTGCTTCTCTATAGCCTTGTTCGGAGCACTCAACGAGTGAAATACTGAATGTGCCGGGCCGATGTGGGGGAGTGTGCCCTTAAGATCATTTTCGGGAGGCGGATTAGTTGAAGTGAGTAAAAACCTTACCCAAACATGACGTTCTCACTGAAATAGCATATCCGCTACAAATAAATAGAATTATTCCATCCATTGGCACATCGGCACATTGACAATTTAACGGCATCGGTGGACGACAATGATGACAAAGGCCAAAATTGTCTCGTCCACATGAGCAAGTGCCTTTTCATACAAGACTTACAAGAATTTCATCAAAAGCATAAGTGTCTCTGATATGTTCGTGGGCAAGTGATTCCAAAAAATGAGGATTTGAGAGGTTAAGTGTGTGGATCGGTGTGTGGAGTGACAATGGGACGATGGATAAAGGACGAAGGATATGGAGGGTTCACCACCGATACTTGAAGGCACAGGCCACCAACAAATGATAAAGAACCGAGATAGATGGCAGCTCACCACCAAGGCGTAAAGGATTTCTCTACCAGCAAAGGATAAAAAACTTTTTGATTTACCAGCAACGACGTTGGATAAAGAATCGGATAAATAATTCAACTCATGTAGAGGAATTCTCATATATTTATCAAAATCTGCATTACAATGGAGAATTCTCCTCTTTTTATAAAAGGACTAAGACATAGGAAATAGATAAACATTAAAGAGACACGAGGACTCCCTAAATATTAAAAGCATGAGAACTATAAATCATTTAAAGACCTAGTAACTCGAAAATGCATTAATGACATTGAGATTTGAAAATTTGACTCTTCAGCCTTTTAATTCATCTTCCAAAATTCTCCACCTTTGTCTTGACCAGAAAATAATCATCTTACGAAATCAACAAATATCAAAGGAAATTGCTTGGGACAGCCTCGCATCGATATTGGCAACTAATAATGTAATTCGATAACTTAATATTTGAACAGGAAGGAAGGATCGATAATTCCTCAATCGGTAACCTGGTCAATAGTCTTCTTTTCGACAACTTCATTCTCGACCTACCGAAGTAAGGTATGACCAAATTCTACCTTGGCTTGAATGGATATCAATTGTGTTGAATTTGTTGATGGAATTAAGTAAGACTCCCCGGATCAGTCTCGAAAGGTATTTGCGCTTTTTTCTTTCCAAGTACCAGTCTTTTTTTCTGAGAAAAGAAAAAGGGTCAGAACAAAATTTCCATGTAATTCATAAATTGCAATGCCATAGCGACACCCAATTTTCCACCAATCATTCATATTTTAGTTAGGGCTTAATACCATCAAAAATCATAAACTGGTACATCTGTGAAAATTTTACCCCAAACTAATTTTTTTGATTACGAAAAATCCCAATTGATACATCTGTGACAAATTTATCCAAAACTAATTTTTTGACTATCAAAAACCCCAAAGGAATACATTTATCTACTGTTAAATTGAATTAATACAATGAAAAACTATAAACCGATACACCTCTGTTAAAACCCCAAATCGATATACCCGTTAACTGCCATGTGTCATTAACTCAGAAATTTGATAGTAAAATTTAACGGAAACTAACGGAAAATAAAATTATCATAAAAGTATTAATTTGAGATTTTTGATGATAAAAAATTAATTTAATTTAAATTTATTATGAATATATCGATTTAGAGTTTTTTGTGATATTAATTTTTTTTAGTTATCAGCAGCACCGCACAGGTGAAGCTTATACCTTTTTCAAAAGTTGTTGGCGGCGGCTCCAACGAGGAAAAAAAAAACTTGAGGGCGACAAGACAAAAAAAAGCAAAGGATCTTTAATTTTTCCTGAGAAATTTCATCGTGGCCTCATTAAAGCACGGAGAGGGACAGCTAGAATCCCTCCGGCCACAAGACCAGATTGCTTCGACAACGAAGTCAGGTCAAAAGTCAACATTTGCTCTCTCTTCCTCTCTCTGAAAGGAATTGAAGTGTAGTTGGACTGGAAATGGAGACCTCAATCTGACTCAAAATCTCAGCAACGAACTACTTGTGGCATTCTATCTTAGGGCACGCAAACTATCCCCAACCAGTCATTTTCCTAGCCCGACATAATAAAAAATTTTAAAAAAATTAAAAAGGGAATTTTAGTCATTTTCCCACCTAGTTTTTGAATGATTTTGAGAAAAAGGATGGAGTTAGTATTACTAAAAACTCCAAACTGGTACATCTATAATAAATTTACCATAAACTATTTTTTTTACCACCAAAAATTCCAAACTGGTACATTTGTAATAAATTCACCCTCCGTTAAATTGAATTAATATCACGAAAAATCACAAACTCGTACATCTATGACGAACGGAGGGTAAAATCCTAAACTGATACGCCTGTAAATTACTACGTGTCATCCAATTTAATGCCAATTTAAATTCTCTTCGAGAGTAATATGAATTTTCAAGTATTCTATTGTTATCTACGGATCTACCACTTTATTTT